TAGATGTTATTCTTATATGTGCATTTATGTAAGAGAACATAACATTTTAAAATATATATGCACCCTACATTGGAGCACCTAAATACATAAAGCAAACATTAACAGATATTGACAAGCAGAAATTGACAGCAATACAATAACAGTAGGGGACTTCAGTACCCCACTTTCAACAAGAGTTAGATCATCCAGACATGAAATCATCAAGGAAACAGCACACATGAACTACACCATAGACCAAATGAACCTAACAGACATATAGAGAACATTCCATTCAACAGCAGCAGAATAAATGTTCCACTCAAGTAAACATGGGATATTCAAAGAATCAGAAAAAGAAAAACTAAGCACAAACACAGCAGAGATAAACAAAATAGTAAGCAAAAATAATAGAAAAGATCAACGAAAGTAAGAGCTGGATTTTAAAAAAGATAAACAAAATCGACAAGCCTTTAGTTAGACTAAGGAAAACAGAGAGAAAACTCAAATACATTAAATCAAAAATGAAAGAAGAGACATAAATAATACCATAGAAATAAAAAGTATCATAAGAGACCACTATGAATAGTTTTATGTCAGCAAATTAGATAACCTGAAAGAAACTAATAGATCTCTAAAAACATACAACCTACCAAAAAATTATGTCAGCAATTAGATAACCTGAAAGAAATTGATAGATCCTTAAAAACATACAACCTACAATCATGAAAATAAGAAATTTGAACAATCTGATTAGGAGTAAGGATAATGAGTCAGTAATCAAAAATATCCCAACAAAGAAAAGCCCAGGACCTGATCGCTTCATTGTTAATTCCACAAAACATTTAATGAATAATTAATACCAGTCTTTCTGAAACTCTTCCAAATAATTGAAGGGGAAGGAACATTTCTATAGTCATTTTACAAGGCCCAAATTACCCTGACCCCAAAGTCAGATAAAGACACAGCAAGAAAAGAAAATTATAGGGAAATACCCTTGACGAACATAGATGCAAAAATCATCAACAAAATACTAGCAAACTGAATTCAACAACACATTAAAAGCGTTTATCATGATCAAGTGAGATTTATCCCTGGGATGCAGGGATGGTTCAACATACATAAATCAATAAATGTGATACATCACACGTTAACAGAACAAAAAAACAATAACCATATGATAATCTCATTAAATGCAGAAAGATCATTTGACAAAATTCAACACCCTTTCATGATAAAAACTCAATAAATTAGGTATAGAAGGAATGTACCTCACCACATAAAGGCCATATATGACTAGCCTGCAGCTATTATAACATTATACTCAATGGTGAAAAGTTGAAAGCTTTCCTCTAAGATGAGGAATAAGACAAAGATGCCTACTCTCACCACCTCTATTCAACATAGTACTGAAAGTTCTTGCTAGAGGAATTAGGCAAAAAGAGAGAGAGAGAGAGAGAGAGAGAGAGAGAGAGAGAGAGAGAGATAAAAGGCATTCAAATCATAAAGGAAAAAGTAAAATGATCTCTGTTTACAGACATGTTTTTTTTCCTTTTGCAAATTGCTTTTATTATTTGCTTAACACATTAACAACATGACCTTACATATAGATAAATCTACAGACTCCACTAAAAATCTGTTAGAATTAATAAATAAATTCACTAAAGTTGCAGGATACAAAATGAACACACAAAAATTTGTAGCCTTTCTATATAATAAC